ATGTTAAAACTTCAACGTAAGAATGGGCGGAGGGGGGGCACAATTCAACCAATAATAACTACATATCTCATTATAACTCCAGACTTCATTTCCGCCATGTTGGTGTCAGGCTTAGCCATGAAATTGCTTTGGCCAATAAAATGTGAGTAGAAGTGATGTGTCTGCATCTAAGCAGAAACTTGTTAAGAATTTTTTCCTTCTGCCATGAAACTAGCCATATTCCAGATAGAGGCTATTTCATCAGCCTGTGTCTCAAGAGTTAGAGTGACATGGAACAGAGCAACAGCTAACTTTCAGTGAATATGTAGCACGAGAAGGAAATAACCCCTTATGATTTTAAGCAACCAAGACTTTGGGATAATGTGTTACTGAAGCATTAACTTAAGGTAGCTGACACCATAAGTTCACTCCTAATGTGTGGGGTTTTTCTCATTCATTCATCAGATATTTATTAAAAGCTTGCTATGTGCTAGGCATAGCACTGTGCGTTGGATACTCTGATGGTTAATTTTATCTGTCAACTTGCTTAGGCCACACTACCCAGATATTTGGTCAAACACCAGTCTAGATTGTTTCTGTGAAGATATTTTTCAGGTAAGATAACGTTTCAATCAGTAAACTTTAAGTAAAGCAAATTACCCTCCATAATGTGGGTGGCCTTGATTCAGTCAGCTAAAGGCTGTAAGAGAAAAAAAAAGACTGAGGTTCCCCCAGGAAGAGGGAATTCTGTCTCCACACTGCCTTCAGACTCGAGCTGCAACATGAGCTCTTCCTTTGGTCTCCAGCCTGCTGGAGCTGTGCAGATTTTAAACTTGCTAGCTCCCACAAATCTCATGAGCCAATTCCTAGAAATAAATCACTATATATATATATATATATATATATATATGTATACATATATATATATATATGTATATATATATATATATATAGAGAGAGAGAGAGAATAGTTAAGAAAGATCCTCCCCCAGTTTATTGTTCCCCCTCTTTTTTTGGCTGCATTAAAGAAGTGTCACCTATAGTAGACCATGATATGGTGAGAATTAGTACCATTTTGTAACTGTCTTGACACAAGCTTATGAGGTAGATAAAACCTGCATTCCAACTTCACCATCACCCAGTTCAGGCCATGTCTTCCTACTCATTGGTGACCTCCATCTTCGAATGGCCAAATTAATGCCAAGGTCCAATTTAAAGCCTATTCGAAGGAAAGTATCTGTGTACCCTTGATGAAATGTAATGTGTTATCCTTGCCAGGCATATTTTAACTTCACTATTGAATACAGCCAGACATTAATGGCTTTGATGATATGTGGGGAGAACCCTGGAGCTTTTCAGAGCTTCCTGAAATTTCAACAATTGATATCTTTCTACTTAGTTACTTGAACACTGGCTCCTCTCATTCTCACTGAAGGGGAAACTTTAGATGCCAATAAGTCAAGTCCTTGTCCTCATATCTTAGGAAGAACTGGGATTAAAATCTGAATTCATGACTTCTGAACTCTCAGCCTTGCTTCAGTAAAGATACTCCGGACAACTTTCTCTCCGACCTCTTCCATTTGCCTAGCATATCTCAAAAAAAATCCCGGTTTCACTTTAACCCTCTTGTTATCATTAATTGATTCTAGATGACTTGCTGTCCTTATCTCCACTGCCCTGACAGCTTTAACTGCTGTGGGGCTGCAGCACTTCCTGGACAGCATTGCCTAGCCCACACCAAGCTGACACGCAGCCTCAGCGAGGGTTTATTAGATCGTTTCTCCACCTTTCTCTTTCTGAGGAGTTGCAGTCCAGAAAGTTGCAGTTATGACTGTCCCCAAGACTACTCTGGCCCCCTACCACCTTCCAGAGTTTTAATATTTTCTCGTATCCTTACTCCATTGCTTAATATGCTTCCTCAGAGTTTAATTCCCTGGTACTGTTGCATTCAGTTTTCTCATTTTTACTCCGCTATGTACACATCATCACATGGGCAATAGTATTCAACCTATCTCTTGTTTTCCTACTTTCAATAAAATCTTACCTGTCCATAAGCAGGGGGTCGAACATAATTTCTCCTTTAATTACATTAGCGATGGCTGGTAACAGAAAGTTGCAGTTCTCCAATTCAGTAACTCCTTTGATCCTTCGTGGGTCTTTAACCCAGCAGATGTCTGGGGAATCCAAGTCCCTTTGGAGTTCAACATTATGAGAGTTCAACTGACCTCACCAGCTGGTTTTTCCTCACCTACCATTTCAATGGCCTATAGCAGATGCCCCATAACACTGTCTTTGTTTTACGTTTTTTTTCTCTCTCTCTCTCAGCTTCCTAAACTCAGAGTACTCTACCCCTCCCCAACCTCTATATGCCTAAGCTACTTTGTGGAGCATGTGAAAATTTCAGAGAAATCATGTCTATCATAAGGCTTCTAGTGTTGAAAGGGTTTTTGTTTTCTGTTTTTTTGAGGGGAGGGTGTGGTGATGATGGTCAGAGAAGAAAGGAAAACCTTACCTTGTTATCACCATTGATATCATGCTCTTTATTCCAGATTAACCAATGTCTAGTTGGGACTGTTTTTCTTTGAGCCCAGAGCTGATCTACTTAGCATCCTAAAGTACCCCCTCCCCAGGCAGAAGAGGAAAAGCTTTGCTCTGCAAAGAATTGCTGAGGTTCCCACTATGCTGAATTGTGAGATGGCACTGTCACTCTCTAACTTTCCTCAGGCAACTGAAGAGGACATAAAAGAATGTTCTACTTTCTACCTATTTCTCAGGAACTACTCTACTTTTACCAACTATGAAATAAAAATATGCTTGAGTTGCTAAATTCAAGAGATTTCAGTCCAGTGTGTTTCAATAACAGATAATAGGAAAACCATGAATGTTAGTCCTAATGAAATTCCTCGGTAGTTAGAACCCAAGCAATATGTTGTGATGGAGTGGCTAAGGGCTCAGATTCTGGAGTCAGAAAGATTCCAGTTTGAATCCAGTCACTGCCTCTTACTATGTGTGGTTAAGTAAGTCACATAACCATTGTAAACCGCAGTTTACTGCTCAGTAAATTGGTGATCATAACAGCAATTTACCTCATAGGATTATTTTAGGGATTAATGGATATAATCTGTTTAGAATGCTCAGCATAGTTCCTAGGACAGAGTAAGCACTTCTATATGATCTGTCATCATTACATGCTCTGCAAATGTAAGCTTATTTTAATACTAAAAATGTCTAATTTATGCCGCTCAATTGAAAGAAATTTTTGAATCTCATCTTCTTGAGATTATCACCTTTTCCATTTATGAGGAAAATCAAGAGTTGACGGTATTTTGAAAAACAAAACAAAAAATATGCAGTGTCACTGAGAATTAAGTTCTGCCTTAGGACAGTCTATCACAGACTGAACTTTTACAGACTGTGATAATTCCCTGGTTAGTCATAAAGTCAAGAATTTTAGAACTGAAAGGTATCAACGTCAAATTTATTACAGTACTTGGAAGTTTTATGAAAACTTTACAGTGTGTTTTATGAATGATTCTTCCTGCATCCCCATGAGAGAGTCAAGCATTACTCTCTGTATTTCAAAGGATTGCAGACTGAGGGTCAGAATATTTGAAATGACATGAAGGCACTGTCTCTTCATGCACTTTGAGGTCAGTTAAGCAGAAGCGATTAAGTTTCCCACTTTCAATTCCATCACCCAAAGGTGCAGGGCAGGATTTCTCACCCTTGACACTCTAGGCATTCGGGGCCAAATAATTTTTGTCATAGGAGTTGCCTGTAGAACGTTTAGCCATATTCCTGGCCTCTACCCACCGGATGCCAGTAGCATGCCCCTGAGTTGTGATAACCAAAAAAATCTCTAGACAATGTCCAGTGTCCCAGAGGAATACTCCCAGCTGAGAACCACTGGTGTAGTGGCCTGTGTCCCCTGCATCGGCAGGCGGACTCTCAACCACTGCGCCACCAGGGAAGCCCTCTAATATACTTTTTTAAGAGACAGCGTTCTAGTAATCAAAGGTCTTGTTAAGTAAAAGACAGTATGCGGAAACAGTACTGAATATGTGTTCTGAAGTCACACTACCTGGGTTCACATCCTGAGTTGAATCTGTTTGGGTTTAAATGCTACTAGGTTTCGTGAACTGGGCAGATGTAAAGTTACATGATCTTATCCTCTGTGTACCTCACTTTCCTCATGTGTAAATTATGGCTCATAATAGAACCACTACATAGAGGTGTTGTAAATATTAAATGAGTTAATTATTTAAGACACTTAGAACAGTGCCTCATACATACTTAGTACCCAATAATGTTACCTACTATTATTACTATTTAGAACTCCTTATTAAGTAGTTTTAAAACCATTTGTTTTGGTGCTTCCTGTATGCCATACAAAGAACTTAATTGTGAAACTTAGTACACCTGGCCTAAAATGATCTTCACAGCATGACTCAAGTATTTATTTATTTATATGTTTTGTTGCACCGGGTCTTAGTTGCGGCTCACAGCCTCCTTAGTTGCAGCTCGCTGGCTCCTTAGTTGTGGTATGTGAACTCTTAGCTGCAGTATGCGGGATGTTTAGTTGTAGCATGCATGTGGGATCTACTTCCCTGACCAGGGATCAAACCTGGTCCCCCTGCATTGGGAGTGCAGAGTCTTATCCACTGCACTACCAGGGAAGTCCCCTCAAGATATTTCTTTAAACTGACTTTTTTTAGTATCATTATTGTTCTCTTCAGTATAGTTCAGGCCTTTAAATTGATTTACTTTTTAGGGTAGGGTGATATTTTTGTTCTTATGTGAGAAGATAAACATCTAAGGTTCATAAGGAAAAACACTCCTTAGAGCAGTAGGTGGGAGATGAATTGCTCTTTGGAACTTTGTATTGGCATCTAGAATTTATCTCTACAGTACTGCTTTTTCCATGGTGCCAATAGGGAAAAGCAAGAGTTACCCATGATTTTCTGGCATTTTTGTTTTGATTAAATAAATTTTAAAACCCTTTCAATATTTATATCTTTCAGAAAATGTCTTTGAAATTCAAAAATGCAAAACGAATTGAAGGCCTTGATAGCAATGTGTGGTGAGTACGTTAGAATAAACAATAATCATTGGGTGAAGTTTTTTTCCTCCACATGTTTATATCCTTATTTGGGAATTTTTAGTTTTATCTATAGTCTATAAATAAAACCACTTATTTTAATTCATCCATTCAGTGGAAATGGAAGGAAATAATGATTCATACACTGATTTATTCACTTAGCAAATGTGCCAGGTCCTGAGCTAGGCACTGGAAATGGACAGAGAAAATGACAGATTGGGTGGATGCCCTTGTGGAACTTACCTTCTAATCCATCAACTTTTCCTATTAGCCCTCCTTTCTAATGGTTGATAAGAGAACCTAGCAGCAGATGGTTGAGAAAAATATATATATATGATTAAAATATGGGTATCATGGAACTGCGATTTGTAAGAAACATTAAGTTCATCAGTTCAGCCATAATTTTTCCAGGTAAAGTCATTTTGTAGATGATAAAATTTTTGTCGTGAACTCATTAATTTTGTTTGATCTGTAAGACTAAACTAAGTCTTATTTTTCAGTTTCTAAAGACTATGAGGTATAAACAGCTAACTTTGTAATTTTAGTACTTACTAATATTACTATTTTTTATCTTAGGATTGAATTTACCAAGTTGGCTGCAGACCCCTCTGTTGTGAATCTTGGCCAAGGCCTTCCAGATATATCCCCTCCTGTATATGTAAAGGAAGAATTATCAAAGATTGCAGCAATTGATAGTCTGAATCAGTACACACGGGGCTTTGTAAGTATATGAGGACTATGTGGGGTGTGAGCTTGTATTTTATATTGTATTGTGCGTGAATGTACTTCTACCACTTCTCCGTAATTGGCTTTCTGGAACCAACTGTCCCAACTTGATAACCAGAGGAGCACTCACCCTTACCCTCATCTCCTAGGATGAGCTGTCCCCTACTTCCAGCTTCTCCACAGTCCTGTCTTGGCCCTTCATTTACCGTTGTTCCAGGATGAGGTCCTATGACAAGCAGGGAAGGAGAATATTCACTTTAGACATGTTTTCTCTCCCTTTCAAACTTATGCAGCCTCAGCACTGGCTTCTTACTTAATATTCTCTATTTCCAACTAGTTACTTTCTTTCTTTCTACCTCAGCACAACCTCCATCTTTCTGTGGTGGAATGCCTAGGATATCCAGAGATTTCATAGATTCTACTAAAAAAAAATTACCACAAGTCTTCATGACCAATTCATGCAGGAACCCTCTGAAAATAGGGAAAAAATTTTTTTAATTTATTGCCATTTAAAAATACAAATTGGAAAATTATAAAACCCAGATGTTAAAAATTCTTACATTTTAGAGCCAAACTATCTCAAAGAAGTAGGTCCCATAATTAAATTTAAGGTTTTGTTCTTCCTTTTACTCAACAGGGTCATCCATCACTTGTGAAAGCTCTGTCCTGCCTATATGACAAGTTTTATCAAAATCAAATAAATCCAAATAAAGAAATCCTTGTGACAGTAGGAGCATATGGATCTCTTTTTAATGCCATTCAAGGATTAATCGATGAGGGAGATGAAGTAAGTATATTAACATTATCATGTTGCCTATATTAATCACTATCATTTGTCCTGCTTTTATTTTTACTTATATTATACTCTTTTTTATTTGAATTATTTTTGAAGTATAATTTATGTGCAGTCAAGTTCACAAATGTTAAGTACAACTTAGTAAATGTTTACATGTATATGTGTATGTATGTCTCCATGTAACCACAAACCAGATGAAGATATAGTACATTTCCAGCAACCCAGAAGGTTCCCTTTTGCCCCTTCGTAGTCTATATTCTTCCAGAGGTAACCGCTCT